ACGTCGGCGCCGAGTGAAGACGAGTGAGTGAGTAAAATGTAACGTCACATCGGCAGTATGTCAGCCATAACGTGACGAGAAGTTATTATATATTATCAATAAATAAAAACCTGTCATCGATGGACAGTAAAATCACTAGAATATCACAGATTAATCGTTAAAACTAGCATACAATCATAAAAAGATATCACTATATGTTACAATATCCCTATATGTTACAATATCACTATATGTCACAATACAATATAAAAATGAGCTATGGATCACCAGCAAACAAAGTTAGGCCACCATACTAGGGACAATGGGGACTTACGGTACTTCTGCTACCTACAGGGTACCCCAGCAGAAATATTAGCCAAACAGTAAAAACAACAAAAAATACGATTAAAATCACAGAGAAATGTTTTTTTTTTAAATGATAGCGGACTTACGTACCCTCTCAGGGGGACAATTGTTTTACAATACTTCAACCCCCTGTGAAGATACAGCCACTAGCAATCTCAGTTATAAATTCATTCTACCAAATTAAAAATCACTTTCTACCAGTATATACTATACATATTATAATCAAAATTTATCAATTTATTCTATTTAAAAAAACCCCGATGATTAAAAGAGCACTGATGTGACAAAAAAAGATCCTTGATGGATGATACTTTGAAACACTTATCCCTTGTGATGGAAAAATCAATGCAGTCAAGCAGGACATGCTTGACCGTGATTCTTTCATCACAAGGGATGCAGAATGGAGGATCCTCACCTTTCAATAAATATTCGTGGGTATATCTGCTGTGGCCAATACATCGCAAGACGATCTGAGGGATAATCAAGACCTGTATTGTAATTAAACGGGGTTTACATCGCGAAGCACATCAAATCACGTGAGCACCTTGATTAAAAACATGAAAAGATTTGGAAAATATCTGTTGACGCCGAGTTGGTGGTGCACATGCTTTGCAAATCCTGCAGTCGACCGAAATCTGAACGACAGTTTACGAACCGGATGTTGATTTCGTTGTGCGATTTTGCTTGGACCATGAGCAGACTCGTTAGTCCAGCAAAACTGTAACTCCATAATGCCAGGCCAAGTTCAGCAAGGTTGGACACTGGAGTTTTAAAGTCAACTAACTCCCTTGCCTCTGGAAGATGGTTCACATTATCTTCTAGCTACAAAATATCTTCTATTCAGCTTGTAACATGCTCCACCTGGAGTGAGTGAGTATGGTTTTACGCCGCTTTTTTGAAATATTCCAGCAATATCACGGCGGGGGACACCAGAAATGGGCTTCACACATTGTACCCATGTCGGGAATCGAACCCAGGTGTTCGGCGTGACGAGCGAACACTTTAACCAGTAGGCTACCCCACCGCCCCCTCCACCTGAAGGGTGATATCTCTGTAAGACTGATTGTCATAGAAACCATCACCATTAGCAAACAAATTATTAAAGTAGGTACTCCATGTGTCGTTAATGTTTCTCTGGCTCGTCACAATATTACCTTCACCGTCTTTACATTCCATTGGAATCTTCAGTTTTCTGTCATTTGCGATTCCAAGTTTTCCTTTTTTCTTCCAGAACTCTCTGGAGTCGGAATGACAAGATAGTAGTAGGTTCTTCTGTTCTGAAGGCTGATAATTCGTCTTTGCTTTTCAAAGAAGCCTATCAAATAGTTTTTTTCTATGAAGATAATCTTTCTCGAGTTTACACTTAATGCTTGATTTCTTTGGTTCTGATGCCCATTCAGGCTTTAAGACACATGCTGTCCCACAGCTGCTGTGGATCGTCTGACAGTAGGATCCGTATTCTTTTGTTTGCCAGATCTCATACTTAGACTTCCTGTTAGATTTATTCATTTCATCTCTTCATGCAATAGATCCAGAACTCAGGTATATGCCTGGTTACTTTCCTGTAGTTCATGGGGGCACGGGTGGCCCAGTCGTCTAAGGCGCCGCGATTCGCTGTGCAGAGGTGCGTCCCTTGGGCACGCCAGAAACCTATGATTGTGGGTTCGAATCCCGGTTCGCCCCAATTATGTTTCTAGGTTTGTCAGCACCATATCCGTGCTCGTGGGTTTCACCGAAGTGGTAAACGTCTGAGACCTGCATCACTTCGGGCTTTCCTCCCACATTAAGCTGACACGCTGTGATATAACTGGAATAATGGTAAAAGCGGGGTTAAACCCAACTCACTCACTCACTCCTGTAGTTCATTTTCAAATCTGATTATTGTCGATTTCACCTTCTACGCTGTCATTGAAGAAATAAGTTGAAATATTTCTCTTGTCATATTTTCGCTTTGATTCACTGTCATGAGATTTATGAGGTTCAGTGGAATTGGTTTAGTAAGGCTGTTGTGAGTATTCGTCGTCAATTTCATGCCAGTTGGTCCAGAAATAATACCAACATTGAATGATCTAGAATTGTATTGTTACCAAGATCACCATTTATGTCAACTACACTGGACATCAGATGGGCATGAAAATCTAACATACAGTTCAGCTGTTCATGGGAAACAAGGGGCGATGGGATAGACTAGTGGTTAAAGCGTTCGCTCGTCACGCTGAAGACCCGGGTTCGATTCCCCACATGGGTACAATGTGTGAAGCTCATTTCTGGTGTCCCCCGTCGTGATATTGCTGGAAAATGGCTAAACGCGGCGTAAAACTATGCTCATTCGAGCTGAATACCATTTTGTGCAGCACCATTTTGATTTTTATATAAGCACGGATGGCCGGACACGCACATACATATCCACACTCGCATGGACAAACGCACCCGCACGCATGCACACGCCCGTCGATATATGAGTGCAATAATCTTGAAAGCGACGTTAAACCCCATTTCACCTCACCTCGCGTGCATGCATGTAACTACATATGTCCCCAGGGGCATGTCCGGTTGCTATGGAAACCCGAAAAATGAATTTTTCAAAATCCCAAATTATCAAAAGGCACCACTAGACCAATAAATGTGCCAAGTTTCGTTAAGATATCTCTTATGTTTTTAGTTCTACTCCGGAAACGACGGACGGACCGACAGCACCCATTTCTATATCCCCCTTCCACTTCTTGGCGGGGGATAACAATCGTTTTCAATTTCTCTGGGTTGCAGTTTAATGTACAGACGACTGTCAATTGCAAAGCTTTCTCGGTCCAACTGCACCTCTCAGTGTGTCGTGTCATGTTTCAACCATGTGAATTCCGTGCAGCACGTGCACTACAATCGCCCCGACTCACAGTGGACGAGAGAGCCTACGGTGAAGCGGCCTTAGCCCGGTTATAAAACTTGGATCGACTGTAGGACTGGCAGGTGTGTGATCCTCGGCACGACAGATGAGGATTGAAGTATTTAATATTTTTCTATTAGAAAAGGACGCTACTGTAGCAATAACTTCTAACTAAATTTCGTTATTGTTTTGTTTTTGTATAGGTTGGTTGGTTGGTTTGTTGTTTAACGCCGCACTCAGCAATATTCCAGCTATATGACGGCGGTCTGTAAATAATCGAGTCTGGACCAGACAATCCAGTGATTGATATCATGAGCATCGATCGACGCAATTGGGATCGATGACATGCATCAACCAAGTCAGCGAGCCTGACCATCCGATCCCGTTAGTCGCCTTTTACGACAAGCATAGTCACCTTTTACAGCAAGCATGGGTTGCTGAGGACCTGATCTACCCCGGAATCTTCACGGGCGTTTTTTTATAGGAAAATAATGTGTAATAAGCAGCTAAGCGTATACCGATTTTACTATAATTAGTTGGCGGTAAGCCTTACAGCAGAATTTCTTTGCAGTTATGATTTAAGGAACGTTCCAAACACAAGTGTTTTCCACACCAAGGACAAGATGTCGCAGCTGAGTTTGTTTGTTTGTTTGTTTGTCGTTTGACGCCGTACTCAGCAATATTCCAGCTATATGAGAGGGCACGGGTGGCCCAGTCGTCTAAGGCGCCGCGATTCGCTTTTCAGAGGTGCGTACCTTGGGCACAACAGAAACCTATGATTGTGGGCTCGAATCCCGGTTCGCCCCGATTATGTTTTTAGGGTTGTCAGCACCATACCCGTGCTCGTGGGATTCACCGAAGTGGTAAACGTCTGAGACCTGCATCACTTCGGGCTTTCCTCCCACATAACGCTGACACGCCGTGATATAACTTGAATAAAGTTAAAAGCGGAGTTAAACCCAACTCACTCCAGCTAAATGAAGGCGGTCTGTAAATAATCGAGTCTGGACCAGACAATCCAGTGACTGACATCATGAGCATCGATCCGCGAATTTGGGATACGATGACATGCTTCATCCAAGTCACCGAGCTTGACCACGCGATCCCGTTAGTCACCTCTTACAACAAACACAGTCGCCTTTTACGGCAAGCATGGGTTGCTGAAGACCTATGGTCATGGAAGCCGGGAGACGGGGTTGAACTGTACATTATCCTATGGCAGTGTATTTTATTGTTTAATAGTGATTGTATCTGTGTCGCATTGTTTCTGTTGAGATTTGGTAGGCGTTGATTGGATTGTGTTTGGACAGTGATCTGTCGTCAGGAAGTTACGATATAGATGCTAGTGTTGTGTGTAAACTTCCGGTCCGGCTCGGTATACCGCGGACGGTGATAGTATGTTATGGAAACGTTTTTAATGTTCCAGTGCCGATGGACAGGTGAGGGCATTGTGTGGAACTTTTCAGTGGGTGGGTAGGTTGTGTATTAGGGGGAGGAAAGCCTGAAGTGATGCAGGTCTCAGACGTTTACCACTTCGGTGAAACCCACGAGCACGGGTATTGTGCTGACAAACCTATTAACATAATCGGGGCGAACCGGGATTCGAACCCACAAACATAGATTTCTGGCGTGCCAAAGGGACGCAACTCTGCACAGCGAATCGCGGCGCCTTAGACGACTGGGCCACCCGTGCCCCCCATTGGAGACAGATCCTGAGTTAAAGAGGGTGTGTCATATTTACTACTTAACAGAAGATAAAACACACTCAATTTTTTTATGACTACAGTTTATTTGTGATGGCCTGTTATAAAGAAGAACCGATTTTTTTCCATATGGCTGTAGTCAGTCATGGCCTATGTAAAAAAACACACCAAATATAACAACCTACAAGTATGTTCTTGCGGTATCATGTACCGTCTACTATGATCTCATTACATATTCGCTAGAATGGACAAGCAAGCAGTTATTTGCAATAAGCATGAATCAGAACGGAATATATTTTCTCAGTGAAATCACTGAAGTAGGCCACGTGTTGCAATATTCCAGCAATTTCAAGGGGTGGGTGGGTGGGGGTGGGCGTGGACACTAGAAATTGGCTACACCATCGCACCCGTGCACATATTGACAATGCTTATGCTTGGGTAGATTGGGCTAAACCTTCACGATCATCTTGCCGGTGTTCGCTCCGGAGAACAGGGACACGAATGCCTTTGGCATGTTTTCAAATCCTTTATGAACCGTCTCCCTGTACTTGAGCTTGCCCTGCAGCAGAAGAATGCATTTCAATATACATCAGGCTGGGATAAGAATCCATTAACTTCGGGTGGTATTAACAAAACATGATTGCAAAGGCGGTTCTGTCAGTAAACTTTCATAGTGCTTTTCACGACGGGAACAGTGATTAATAACTGCAACACTTACAATCATGAACACTGTCTTGACGTACATTAAATACCCGTGAAGATCCGGGGTACAATAGGTCTTCAGGAACCCATGCTTGCCGCAAAAGGCGACCATAATTGTCGTAAGAGGCGACTATGATTATCGTAAGAGGCAACTAACGGGATCGGGTGGTCAGGCTCGCTGACTTGGTTGATGCATGTCATCCATCCAAATTGCGTGGATCGATGCTCATGATATTAATCACTGAATGTTCTTGTCCAGACTCGATTATTTACAGACCGCCGTCATATCGCTGGAATATTGCTGAGTGCGGCGTTAAACAACAACCAACCAACCCAAACCAAAACGTACATTAAAGGAAGTCATGATCATCTGAACCATGACTGCAATGTTCCAATTAGCAATGGTCAATGACTGCTTTGTAAAACAATGTGTCTATGACAGCTATGTATAACAGTGTGTCTATGACTGCTATGATTAACAGTGTGTCCATGTAAGCTATGTATAACAATGTATCCATGCCTGTTATGTAAAGCACTGTGTTCGTGAATGCTATGCATAACAATGTGTCCATGAATGCTATGTATAACAGTGTGTCTATAACTGCTATGTATATCAGTGTGTCCATGTCTGCTATGTATAACAATGTATCCGTGACTGCTATGTATAACAATGTGTCCATGACTGCTGTGTATGACAATGAGTCCATGACTGCTATGTATAACAATGTGTCCATGTCTGCTATGTATAACAATGTGTCCATGACTGCTATGTATAACAATGTGTCCATGACTGCTATGTATAACAATGAGTCCATGACTGCTATGTATAACAATGTGTCCATGACTGCTATGTATAACAATGTGTCCATAACTGCTGTGTATGACAATGTGTCCATGTCTGCTATGTATAACAATGTGTCCATGACTGCTATGTATAACAATGTGTCCATGACTGCTGTGTATGACAATGTGTCCATGTCTGCTATGTATAACAATGTGTCCATGTCTGCTATGTATAAGTATGTGTCTACGGGATTTCCACGGAGAATTTACATTTGTTAGCCACCAGGGAAGTAGCGTTAATGATTATTTCATTTGTTCAGTTGATTTCTTCCATCATATTTCCTCATTATGTATTGGGGAAAAACCCGTCTCTGACCATTTTCCTCTTGAATTATCTTGTCACACAAAACTAACAAGTAACAGTCTTGACCAGTGTAGTGACCAGCCTCTGGTCAAATATGTTTGGAATGATTTTCACGAATCTCGTTACTTGGATAATCTTAAGAGCTGTCTTAATCTGAATGAATTAATAGAACTTCTACATGTTGGTATAGATAGGTCTTTGTCTAGCTTCGTAGACTATTTACTGTATTCCGCCAGCTGCATGAAGAAAGTCTTATGCTCTAAGAATGGCTACATGATTAACAGACGTTATAGCATTGAATGTATGCAGGCAAAACGTGCTACGAGGCGAGCACGACGGAAATTTAGAAGTAACAAGTCTGTTGATAACAGAAAGAGTTACTGTTCCTTAAGAAATCGATATAAGTACGAAATCAGGTTATATAAGAACAAGATACGACACAATAGAATTGGACAGCTATGTAATGCAATGGGTAATGCTAAGAAATTTTGGAAAGAGGTTCGATCCATTAACATGAAAAACATCCCTGCTTGTAGCATTTCAAAAGCTGAATGGGCAATTTATTTTAAAGAAGTATTTTCAACAAATGACGTATTTGATCATACGCTTTTTGATGACATATTTGATCCTATAAATGAAGATGATTTCTTTTCTGAAATAGATCGGGAAATCCTTGAATCTGATATTCAACGTCATGAGATACTGACAGCAATTCAGTCACTTAAAAAACGTAAATCCCCGGGACTTGATAATATTCTTGCTGAAATGCTGCAATCATCAAGGGAGATAATTTTGCCCTATCTTACAGAATTGTTTAATATGATTTTTCGTTCAGGCGTATTTCCAAGTTCGTGGTCGAAGGGCATTGTTATACCTATTCACAAGAAAGGAGATGCTAGCAATGCAGATAATTATAGAGGTATAACATTAAACAGTATTTTGGGGAAAGTATTTTCGAGTATATTAAACAACAGACTAACGTTATGGGCCAATATGAGGGATAGAATATCAGGCCGGGTTTAGAAAACACTATTCGACTACAGATCATATTTTTACATTAAATGCAATTATAGAAAAATATTTGATGGAACGTGGGAGAAAACTGTATGTAGCTTTTGTTGATTTCCGGAAGGCTTTTGATTCTGTGAATCGTCATAAACTGTGGGTGTGCCTTAGGAGAGCTGGATTACGGGGCAAAATGTACCTGATTCTTAAAAGTATGTACTCTAATGTCAGGGCGTGTGTGCGTTGTAAAGGTGATTTCACTGACTTTTTTGATTGTCCGCTTGGCTTGAAACAAGGATGCGTATTAAGTCCCATTCTATTTTCATTCTTTATTAACGAATTGTGTATAGAAATATTGAATAGTGGCAAACACGGGGTCCAATTATGTCCGGATATTTTAGAATTGTTCTTATTATTGTTTGCTGATGATGTTATTCTTATATCACACTCAGTCTCGGGTCTTCAGAACCAATTAAACATTTTGACTGATTACACTGATGATTGGAAGTTAACTGTAAACTTAGAAAAGACAAACATAGTCGTTTTTAGAAGAGGTGGCCCATTAGCTTCAGTCGAAAAATGGTTATATAAGGGTTCGAGAGTTAAAGTTGTTAGCAAGTATAAAAACCTAGGTGTTCTGTTTACCAACACTTTAAGTATGGGTAATCTTGTTAAGGATTTATCTGTAAGGGGTAAAAAAGCCATGGTCATGTTATTGTCAACTTTATCTAAACTCCAGCCTTTATCCCCAAGTATATTCTTTAAATTGTTTGACACACAGATACAACTAATACTGTTGTATGGCTCTGAATTATGGGGTTTTAAACATTTTAATACAATCGAAAAAGTACATCTTCTTGCTTGTAAATTTTTTTTAATGACTGGAGTCAACTCCCCTTATAATATTGTTTACGGAGAGTGCGGTAGATATCCTCTGTACGTTAATTCATATATTCGTGGTATCATATATTGGTTAAAAATACTTACTATGCACAAACAGTGACTGCCAAGGAAAGCTTACAATATGGTATACAACTATGATAATCTGGGTTACAACACTTGGGCATCAAATATTCGGGGACTTTTGTTCTCAAATGGCTTTGGCTATGCTTGGATTTATCAAGGAGTTGGTAACACCTGTATGTTTGTAAATATGTTCAAAGAAAGAATTGTAAATACCTTTTATCAAACATGGATGTCTAATTTAAATGCAAGTAGCAGATATGATGTGTATAGATCATTCAAATCCTTACTGGAGCCTGAAAAATATTTAAGTGTTCTTTGTAATTTAAATCTTCGTCAACATTCACGCGTTTTCGTATGGGACTGAGTGATATTAGAGTAAATACCGGAAGAAGACAAAATACGTTAAAATCTATACGTTTGTGTCCATTATGTGATATGTGTGTTGAGGACGAATTTCATGTACTTTTTATCTGTGAGTTTTACCAACATATCCGAAAACGTTTTGTACCCGCTAAATACCTTAAACAGCAATGTACCACATCCCTTATATCACTTATGTCTAATCAATCTTCTGGTGTAATCTACAGTTTAGCTCAATTTCTCCATCAAGCACTCAATATTCGGCAAGAACTTGTAAATACAAATGTCTCCTAGAACGCACATATATGTTGAAAGTATGTATACATTGTGTGTATTTGTATATAGGCCGGAGGCCTTTCATACAATAAACTTCTTGTCTTGTCTTGACTGCCATGTATAACAATGTGGCTATGACTGCTATGTATAACAATGTGTCCTTGACTGCTTTGTATAACAGTGTGGCTATGACTGTTATGTATAACAATGTGTCTACGACTGCTATGTATAACAGTGTGTCCAACTCTGCTATGTATAACAATGTATCTATGACTGCTATGTATAACAGTGTGTCCATGTCTGCTATGTATAACAATGTGTCCATGGCTGCCATGTATAACAATGTATCTATGACTGCTATGTATAACAGTGTGTCCATGTCTGCTATGTATAACAATGTGTCCATGACTGCTATGTATAACAATGTGTCCATGGCTGCTATGTATAACAATGTGTCCATGGCTGCTATGTATAACAATGTATCTATGACTGCTATGTATAACAGTGTGTCCATGTCTGCTATGTATAACAATGTGTCCATGACTGCTATGTATAACAATGTGTCTATGGCTGCTATGTATAACAATGTGTCCATGTCTGCTATGTATAACAATGTGTCCATGGCTGCTATGTATAACAATGTGTCCATGAATGCTATGTATAACAATGTGTCCATGACTGCTATGTATAACAATGTGTCTATGACTGCTATGTATAACAATGTGTCTACGACTGCTATGTATAACAATGTATCTATGACTGCTATGTATAACAATGTGTCCTTGACTGCTATGTATAACAATGTGTCTACGACTGCCATGTATAACAATGTGTCTATGACTGCTATGTATAACAATGTGTCTATGACTGCTATATATAACAATGTGTCTACGACTGCTATGTATAACAATGTATCTATGACTGCTATGTATAACAATGTATCTATGACTGCTATGTATAACAATGTGTCTACGACCGCTATGTATAATTATGTGACCACTTACCTCATTTACCCATCTAAGAAGTTGGGTTCTGCTCTCCTGAAATTTGGAATCCCAGTCAAAAATGACGAATCCCTGTACTTTTAATCTCTTTTTGAGGATGTTGCGGAATGGTGACGGCACTGTAAAACATAGAGTAAATAAGTCAGAACTACATATTAGAAGATTACATGATATATAACACATTCATGCATGCATTTCATTTACATGGTTTACTTCGTTCACATATCCGTCCACCAAGATATAATTTTACAATTTTATGAACTGTCAGTCTGGTTTTCCGCCAAATGATATCCTTAAAAGTAGCGAGGTGAAATGAAATGGGCTTTAACGTTGCGCTCACGTGTGTGTGTGTTGGGTTCGGAGGGTGTGTGTGTGTGGTGTGGTGGGGTGTGGTGGGGTTGGGGTGGGGGGTGGGGGGTGGGGTGGTGAGTGTTGGGTGTGTCGGCTTTTACTAATGCCGATTTTATAGTCCTTCTTGATGTCTTTAGGTAAGGTCCGGGCGGACGCTCTACCACAAGACCACGGAGGCGGTCCTTTGAAACTACACTAACGCCGAAGCCCCCGTACCCATTCTACAATGTGTGAAGCCCATTTCTGGTGTCTCCCGCCTTGTTTCTGTTTTAAATTACTTAAATCGGGGTAAGTCCATACCACTCACAAACTCACCAAAGTCCAATGCTTCTGTCATGTTACTGTTACTTTATTTTGACCCTTTCGACCATACTTTGAAGGCATCATTTCCAAAGAATATGTTTCGGCAATTAGACTGACAACCAAACCAATAGCGCCATGGTACTGTAGCTCATTTCGATACATTGTCAACAGTCTACAATGTCAACAAAGATGGACACACGCTGTCAGGATTTGCTATTCAAATATTTTCGGCATAAATATAGGACTAATAGCTGGACATATATTTAGGCCATGACACTTAATGGGTAACAATGAAAAACGTAGATAGCTCCCGTATTTAAATTCCCCTTCGTGGTGATTCATAAAAATCACTAGAGAGGTGTCTAAACTACACTTGACAAGCCAAAGCTTCCCGAGAGCGTCATCGTAGTTTGAAAGTTCACTTTGGAGAAGACAGGTAAGAGTTACCTGCCCTTGTGTATATATGGTGGAGTGTGTTCTGTCTGTGCTGAACGTACCCAATGGTTCCTTGCCGGTGTTATAGGTGGAAATGGCACCTCCCACACACATCCGTCCGTAGTTGTTCATGTGCTCCAGCACGCGGTAGGCGTTTTCACCACCGACCTGAAAACACATAGCAATCATCATTGCTTTTCCCCCATGGTGAGGTGAAATGGGGTTTAACGTCGCGACCAAGATTATTGCACTTATATTTGCCATGTGCATGCACGTGTATGTGTGTGTGTGTGTGTGTGGCTGCTTGTACTTGTCGGACTGATGCCGATTTATAGTGCTAGCTCACTGAGATACCATGCCGCAGTTTAACATGAATACCCCACTCAGCCACAGTATACTGACTCCGACCAGTCCTTGTTTTAGTCCCTTAATGCCGAGCGCCAGACAGGGTAACAACAGGTACCTTCGGACCCCGGACCTTCCGCTCTCCGGGCGGACGCTCAACCATTAGACCACGGAGGCGGTCCTTTACCCCATAGAGATTCCATGAAAGAATATAGGTCTCCAGCTACATTTGCTTCTCGTTCTGTTTGTTTGTTTGTTGTTTAACGCCGCACTCAGCAATATTCCAGCTGTATGACGGCGGTCTGTAAATAATCGAGTCTGGACCAGACTATCCAGTGATTGACATCATGATCATCGATCTACGCAATTGGGATACGATGACATGCATCAACCAAGTCACCGAGCCTGACCACCCGATCCCGTTAGTCGCCCTTTACGACAAGCATAGTCACCTTTTATGGCAAGCACGGGTTGCTGAAGACCTGTTCTACCCCGGATCTTTACGGGTATTGTTTTTCGTACGAGGCGACTAAATGGCTCGGGTGGTCCGGCTCACTTGGTTAATTGCATGTCATCTTTACCTTCGAAAGATTCGGATGATAGTCAATACTTACTTGTCTCGACCAGACTCGAATAATTACATTCTGCTATCATATAGATTGCACATTGTCGAGTTAAGACTTTAAACAAAACAATACATCATCATCATCATCATCATCATCATCACCCCCGACATCATACTGCTTTCTACAGCGTGGAACAGTGACACTCATTTCAATTAACATAAGATCACAGGTCATATCATTACTTCTCTGCATCCAAAATTAATACAGGCTTTAAAACAAATGAAGGATACACGGTGTGTATTTTTAGAACAGCGTTATACATGTAACCTGACAACTATTTAAAAACATTACGGCATGTAAATGTAAATATTAACGTGTTACACACGTTGTCATAGAAACAGTCGATGCCCTTTGGTGCAGCAGCCTTAAGTGCGTCGTCCAGTTTTACGTCCTTATAGTTGAACACGTAGTCAAACCCAAGACTCTTCAACCAATCACACTTCTGCTTGGATCCGGCAGACCCAATCACCCTGCAACCCTGCAAACAATTAAGAAATACATTATTTTTTACCTCTGAAAGGAGGAATCTATTAGAGTGAGTGAGTGAGTGAGTTGTGTTTAACGCCGCTTTTAACAGTATTCCAGTCATATCACGGCGTGTCAGCTTAATGGCAGGAAAGCCCCACATGATGCAGGTCTTGGACCACTTCGGTGAAACCCACGAGCACGGGTATGGTGCTGACAAACCTAGAAACATAATTGGGGCGAACCGGGACTCGAACCCACAACCGTAGGTTTCTGTTGTGCCCAAGGGACGCACTCTGCATAGCGAGTCGCGGCGCCTTAGACGACTGGGCAACCCGTGCCCCCGAATCTATTAGATGTTTTGTGACTTCCAACAGAGGTTGAGATTGTATAACACCTGGTAGAGACACTCTTACTTTTAGGGTCGATTATATGACCCATCATGTGAGAAGGGGCGGTGGGGTAGCCTAGTGGTTGGAGCTTTCGCTCGTCACGCCGAAGACTCGGATTCGATTCCTCACAGTGCAATGTGTGAAGCCCATTTGTGGTGTCCCCCGCCGCGATATTGCTTGAATATTGCTAAAAGCGGCGTAAAACCATACTCACTCACTCATATGAGATTAAGATAATTTATACTCAACAACAAAAGTTCCTGTGACACCAATATTTTCGTGTATTTTTCAAACAAGTAAAGTTTGGTTTTCAATATTGTAGTACATGTATGGATTCAAGTCACAAAAACGCAACTGCTACAGAAAAGCATGCATTTCATGCAAAAGTTGACTTTTATGCAAGCCCCATGCATTTCACTCCCGTAGAAGGGGTATAAAAACATGTGCGTTAACGGGATTCCATATGCATTGTTTAGCATCGTGCTGACAACCACCACTCAGAAAAACAACAAAATTACATAATTATTCAACATTACGAAATGCCACGCCTGTCCGAAAATGAGCGTCTGTGAGCCATTGGTATGCTTGAAGCAGGATCGAGTCAACGTGATGTTTCAAGACAATTTAACGTCCACAGAAACACCATTTGGTGTTTATGTCAACGTTGGCAACAGACGAATGCAGTCAGAGACCATCCTCGGAGTGGCCGGCCACGCGTAACCAATAATCGACAAGACAACTACGCTGGACGGCCATGCAGTGGGGACAAGTTCTACTCACTAACGAGTCTCGTTTTCACCTCAGCCACAGCGATGGACGGATTCGAGTGTACCGACGTCGAGGTGAACGTTACGTCAATCATTGTGTCATGGCAGAAGATCGGTTCGCGGCGGCAGCGTTATGGTATGGGGTGGGATTACAGCAAGACAGAGGTCCCGTTTGATAGTGGTAGAGGCAAATCTCAAAGGACAGAGCTACCGCGACGAGATCATCGGCCTTGTTGTTGTACTGTTTTTGCGTTGTCATGGCCCAGGCATAACCTTTCAACATGACAACGCCCGGCCTCATATTGCTCGACTTGTTCAGGATTCTCTTCAACAAAACAACGTGAATGTCATCCCCTGGCCGGCTCGCTCCCTTAAAAAATTGATCTCTCACTAATCGAGCACATGTGGGATGAGATGGATCGGCGCCTTCGACGTCAACCACGTGTTCCACAGACACTCCAGGAACTTCGAAAAATGCTCCAGCAGATATGGACAGATATCCTACAGGACTTTGTGCGACGCCTGGTCCATTCCATGAGACGAAGATGTGTTGCTTGCATCGCAACCAGAGGTGGAAACGCACGCTTTTGATTTGTAAATTGACATTTTTTTTAATGAAATCACGCATTTTCTGAAGTCAGTATGGCAAATTAAACCATTTGAACACTTACAGGAGTCTTTTATCTGTTCCAAACTGAAATTGTTTCAGATTTGGTAAAAAACATAACTTTGCATTAAATCTTATTCAGCGTCACAGGAACTTTTGTTGTTCAGTATATATCATATATCGACCGCCTATGTGGTTTAGTTGATAGAGTGTTTGCCCGGAGAGCGGAAGGTCGAGGTTTCCATCCCCGGCCGCGTAATTCCAAAACACGTTAAAAGATGGTACTTATTGTTAACCTTTTCTGGTGACAAAACTGGTCAGCTCGGAGTCAGTTTACTGTGCATGATTGGGGTATCCATGTCAAACTGGATGGTATCTCAGTGGTCTAACACTGTAAAACCGACACTATTCCGGATTAGAACAAGCAGACAAGCAGACAAGGAGACACTGACAAGTATTCATAGAATTGTGTTTCTCCGCCCTACCTTGATCTTGGCGATCTGTCCAACCACACTGCCTACTGCCCCTGCTGCCCCGCTGACCAGCACCGTGTCCCCAGCTTTGGGCTGACACACCTCCAGGAAACCTAGATACGCCGTCACTCTGAAACGATGGCACCAGGACAATCTCATTAAAATCGGAACTTTTACTCTGATATTATAACTCTCTACGTGAATATCTGAGGATGAACCTTTTAATCAGCCAAACAGCGACAGGCTTCTAAGCTCCCAGAACGGGTGAGCGAAGTTTTCAGACAAGCATATTGGATTTCTGTATCTTGAAAATGAATATAATCGGCAAAGTACGTGGCAAAATAACAAAGGCGCGCGTGTATTTTGTTATGGACATTATATACATCGTATCTGAGCGCCATGTCATCTACACGAAAAAGGGGTATACCACAGAGGGGATATTTGTGTTCGTTGTAAGGATCGAAACTCTTAAATCGAGATTGGAAAGTTGATTGTCTCTAGAACCCATCCTATGTTTAAACTTGGGGATCAAAGTTAACTCAATGATCACCTGACGCGAGCGTCTGTATGTGTGTGGTCAAAATTTGACGTAGAGAGGAGTAAAAATCTGATTTTAGAGAGACCGGCATAAGAATGGTCTGGATTCACAAAGTCAAGGAAGACAACCAGGACTGCACAAAATAGCGCATGTATATAAAATGTCTGAGTTAACAGACCGAACGCTATCAAGCGTTGCGTCCTTAGCCATGTAAGGATCAGCTGGTCTCGAGTTCGAATCCTGAATTCGCACAAATGACATTCTTTGGTCTGTCAGTATTAAACGTGTACGACCTGCGTCACTTTGGGCCCTACTCCACAGGCAGCTGACACGCCGTAACATCAGAACCTACAGGAAGACGGCGACATCAAATTGAATAAGAAAATACACTAAATTCTAGGTTCCTCACACTCAAAGAGATATTTTTTCACTCGCCCTTACCCTGTCATCCCAATGACTCCAAGAGCTATAGACGGGTCTTTGCCACCGAGGTTGGGCACTTTAAGAAGCTTGAGAGCCTCGGGGTTTTCTTTGGGGTTGACCAACGACCTGCTCCGCCACCCACTGTAACACTGGACGAGTGCCCCAACAGGGTACTGGCTGTTTTTGCTCTCAGTCACTCTGAAGGTTGAAGCAGCAATGGTTTCAAGACAATCATATACAGGCCACAATTAAAGGAGTTAGAAACGTAGTAACAGTTATTCAATCAGTATGTGCCATGTACAGCAGCCCGTGCCTTCAAGCACTGAACCAGTTACTGACAGTTAAAATAATTCCCAGTCGTTGTGAACGTCAATGATGGCAGTGTCATCTTTGACTCTCCAAGGCATAATATCTACAAATACTCTGGGCCTATTCACTGTCATTAGATACATGTAGCTGGAGTGTTGAGACCAATATGAAAGACACCACAAGAGGGTAACGGATCAGAGAAATACAACTGCAACATCACTTCTTAAACAAACTTATGGCAGCGATTATAGAATGAAAATCTCGACACGATGAACAATATTGATATACATATGTTGTTGTATTTATTGTATATTCTTTATTTGTTATCGTTTTAAATGCTGTGTTTAAAACTGTATTCTTGTGTTAAGAGGTGCTTAACGTTGTGTTCAGTTATGTGTTAATTATTATAAGTGTCGGAACTATTGTTGTGGTTAATGTGTTTAATGCTGTTTATTTTTGTGTTAATTTTGTGTTTATTGTGTGTCCTACCTTGAGACTTGTTCTCCCATCAGCACATTTCCTACAGCCGACCCAGCCATGCCGGTTCTTGACAACACAGAGATCATGAGTACATGATACATTCTAATTAGTGCACGGTTCTATTGAATGTATGACATATATTAGAGAACAAATGTTCGAGAGAGTAGTGAGTGAGTTTGGTTTTCCGCCGCGTGAACAGTGTTTCAGTTATTTGACGGCGTGTCGTATTTGATTGATGTTGGAGAAAAGCCCGAAGTAATGCAAGTCTTAGACGTTTACCACTTTCGTGAAACCCACGAGCACTGATATGATGCCAACAAACCTACAAATATACTAGTAATCGGGGCGAACCTGGATTCGAAGCCATGATCACGTACCCAAGAGACGCAACTCTGTACTGCGCTGTCATATATACTCGTGCATTTGACAGATATTGTCAAAGTTTATACGTGCGTATGACATGGGCATAGTCAAAGTATACACGTGCATGTGAGATAGACATGGTCAAATATACGCTTGCATGTTAGATAGACATGGTCAAATATACACGTGCATGTGAGATAGACATGGTCAAATATACGCTTGCATGTTAGATAGACATGGTCAAATATACACGTGCATGTTAGATAGACATGGTCAAATATACACGTGCATGTGAGATATTCATGGTCAAATATACACGTGCTAGTGAGATAACATGGTCAAATACACACGTGCATGTGAGATAGACATGGTCAAATATACACGTGCATGTGAGATAGACATGGTCAAATACACACGTTCATGTGAGATAGACATGGTCAAATATACACGTGCATGTGAGATAGACATGGTCAAATATACACCTGCATGTTAGAAAGACATGGTCAAATATACACGTGCATGTGAGATAGACATTGTCATAGTATGCACGTGCAAGTGACATGAAACATTGTTACATGCATGTAATATAAACACTGATACTGTACACATGCATGTTTCATGTAGACTGTCAAACACCACGTGCATGTGATATGAACCACTGTGAAACACACATGTGCATGTGATACGAAACACTGTCAAACAAACACGTGCATGTGATATGAAACATTGTCAAACACACGCGTGCATGTGATATGAAACATTGTCAAACACACGCGTGCATGTGATATGAAACACTGTCAAACACACACCTGCATGTGATATGAAACACTGTCAAACGCACACGTGCATTTTATATGAAACACTGTGAAACACACGCGTGCGTATGGCATGAAAACACCACGTGCAAATGATATGAACCACTGTGAAACACACATGTGCATGTGATACGAAACACTGTCAAACAAACACGTGCATGTGATATGAAACATTGTCAAACACACGCGTGCATGTGATATGAAACACTGTCAAACACACACGTGCATTTGATATGACACATTGTCAAACACACGCGTGCATGTGATATGAAACACTGTCAAACACACATCTGCATGTGATATGAAACACTGTCAAACGCACACGTGCATTTTATATGAAACACTGTGAAACACACGCGTGCGTATGGCATGAACACTGACGAATTTACAGGTGCAGGAGAACAAAAATAAACACAAACCTCATATATGGATCAACAGTCAGACATATTGCCTCAGTCACAAACTCTGAAACAAATTGTAGAATGTACTTGGTCGTGTGCTGGAGACAAGCGATCGAACACATGTGCACGGGCACAACACGCAGGGAAACGGGAACGTAGAAATGGCTTGTCACAAACAAATATATCAAGCAGAGGAAGCATGCACTGAAGGACAGAATAAACCGGAGATCATAAAATTATATAATTGTCTCTGGATAAACTGATAAAAAATTATCATTTCTTTCCGTAAACACGATGCAATGTACATTCATTTATCATACACGAAAGAATGAGGTTTTTAAAGTTTGGAAAAGTGATATTTTCACACAGCGAATCGCGGCGCCTTAGACGACTGGGCCACCCGTGCCCATAGATATTTAGGAGATAAACCTACTGTGTTTTGAAATTTGATGTAGTCCCACTGTAGAATAGATACCTCTTTATTATAATTTTGAACCGAGCGCTTTCCATGTGTAAGTGTTATTATTTAGTTAGCAATTACCCCCAGTAAACAATCATAAAATCAAAATAAATGCCTCTCCACTCCGAACTTGGATGTGGCAGAACTTGACCTACATCACGTCGACTCACACCTCACAGCTGTCAATGGCTGACAATCAGTGTTTACATTCTCGGTAACGAGATATAGAAAGAAGCAAGATGACAACCCCGATCTATGATGTGGTTCAACATTAACAGGTAGATTATCTGGGATTGATAGTTTTCACCGCGGTGGAAATATTATCACCGCGGTGGAAATAGTTTTCTGTGTTTTCATTTTAGTTTTTGACATTTTCGCTTTCGCTTTTGACATTTTCATTTTAGTTTTTGACATTTTAGTTTTTGATTTTTGACATTTTCATTTTAGTTTTTGACATTTTGTTTCACTTTTCAGCGATACAATATCTTCTTTACACATGATTTATCACAAATTTGTAGACAAATCGTGTTAATTTGCAAAACGTAACGATAAAAGTAAGTGAAATATCAAAATATGGAAAAACAGACTCTTATGGGCCACCGTAATGGACTTATGACATTGTGTCTTTGAAAATACGCCAAGGAAAAATTATAGTAGCAATGATCGTATAAGTTTCTTCATAACTAAGTGCAGCGCATGTGAGTGCGTGCGCGAGTGCGTGCGTGTTGCGTGCGTGAGCCACGTTAGCATCCCCACCGCCCCTCCTCACCTCCAAGAAGAGAATACCATCCAGTTACAAGTGTGAATAGCTTGGATTGTATACTCCCTAGGGAGCTGAGAATGATGAGTTCACACTGATCCATTGACCGGGGTAATAATGTCTTAGCGCTTAGAGCATGCTTATGCATTAACATTAACTGATTTTCATTTGGAAAACTGTTCAAATATTCACTTATCTTGCCATGGAAAAGAGGGCAAAGCCGGGATTCAAACCTTCTTAAATAAAAGAATTTCAACCTCATCCAGTACACTAGAGGGCACTGGTGGCCCAATGGACTAAGGCGCCCCAATTCACGGTGCAAAGTTGCGTTCCACGGCTGTGTCAGGATCTGCTAATCGTGGGTTCGAGTCTCAGATTCACCCCTGAGTATAATTTTTGGTTTGTCCTCACCATTTGTATGTTCGTGGGCAAAACCAAAAAGCTAAACGGACCTTCATTTCGAAATTTCATCTACGTCTCGAAATAACTGTTAAAGAAGTAAACCATGCACGCTCACTCATCCCTGAACACATAATAAGCAATACTGCTGGGCGATATTAACTTTACGGTCTCCATGACCAAGCAAGATATACAATCTCGACGAGAACTGCATTAAGCATTATGTAAGTGCATCAAGCTGACTCCTAGCCCTCCCTACCTCCCTGCTTGGGGGCCGGAATCTCTTCCTCGATGAGGCGGAAATTGGCCTCCGTGGGCTCCCCCTCGAAAGCCTTCGCCAACACCCATGCCTTTCCCTTCACCATGGTCGTGTATATCTTTATCCGGGGTAGATCTCCTGTGTTACCTTGGACTGTGCTGTCTCTCGATGTGGCAGATCTGCACGTCGGGAGACTTTATACAGACCGTTTCCCGTGAGTCAGCAAAATTCAGAGCGATTACGTTATGTGCGATGTGCATGTCATTGTTGACCTTTTGCGGTGTGGATGTCGATGTGGCTTCATGGCGTCATGATGACATATCAGTTTTCAATTTATGGCAAACGGTTCTATCAAACACCGACTCTTGTGCATGTGTGTGTGTGTGTGTGTGTGTGTGTGTGTGTGTGTGTGTGTGTTTGTGTGTGAGTGAGTTACGTTTGTTGAGTTGTAATACAAACTAATGATTGCATCGTGTGCATATGTCAGGGTCAAATATGTTAGTTGACTGAAATTTTCACTCCGACAATTTATAAAACGCCAAAATATTTAAGTTTTTTTTCAAATTGACTAACAGTTTATAATATAATAATATAGTTTATTATGGTAACGGATTCCCGACATTTTGATGTTTAATTTCATAATCCAGTAACTGAAAATGATAAGATTAAAAGAAAACGATCAAGTCAATGGATATTTTATATACTGATATTTTTGGCTTCTTATCCTTGCATTATTAGTCTATTGTGATGTTGTTAAGCCATTTTAAAGTTCTTAATCAGATTGAGCCAAGGGAATCACATTTTACACAGTGACTGTACCATGTACACATCTACAAACGAAAACGCTTGTGAACACAACGACTTAGTGTGGTCTGTCTTGCACCGAAGAACTTCCCAACGTTAAAGTAAAGGAACTAAACTAGTGTCCAAAAGAAACGATACCAACTTATTTTCAAAATTGTTTTTTACTAAGTGAATTGTCAAGTATGAAAACATGCCAATTCGTATTGCATATCCCAAACACAGCATAGTCGATAAAAAATACCGGGAACACTTCCGGGAAAAAGGTAAATTTCGTGAAAGTGACATTTCCCTCTCTAGCATGTTCTGCACGTGCAGAAAAAACTGTATAAAACGGCTGATCAGACACGTTGATATCACAGCAACAAAAAGAACACTAGATATGCCACGTTTGACAGCCATCGAGAGAGAGAGAGAGAGCCGTTGGAATGGTCCAACAAGGAGCGTCACATGTCGACGTCGCCAGAAGGTTGGGCTGCGCACGCATCACTATCACCAGGTTGATGCAGCGGTTACGTCAGACAGGTCAGACGTCAGACAGGCCCAGGAGTTGAAGACCACGAGTAACCACGCCCCGTGAAGATCGTTACTTCCGGGTATTACACCTGAGGAACCGCACCGTAACAGCGACGTCCACGGCGGCTACAGCACTGGGACACAGGATCAGTCGACAGACCGTCTACAGGAGACTACGGCAGTATGGTATCCGGCCACGTCATCCCTACCGCGGACCGCTCCTGACGCCTCGACACCGGAACAACAGACTGATCTGGGCCAGGCGAGTTCGACGTTGGCAACGGCGGGACTGGGCACGTGTTATGTTCTCTGATGAGAGCAGATTCCTCATCTTCAGAAACGATGGACGGCAGCTTGTATACCGACGATTTGGTGAACGTTTGGCGCCTAACTGTATCCAACAGGTCCGGCCGTTTGGAGGTGGAGGGTTAATGGTTTGGGGTGGCATATGTGGTGACGTCAAAACGATGCTTGTCGTAATTCGTGGAAACCTGAATGCACAGCGTTATCTTGATGACATCCTACGGCCTGTTGTGGTGCCCTTTTATTCAGCAACAGCCTCGTGGACTCCTTTTCCAACATGACAATGCAAGGCCACACACAGCAAGATTGACACAGAACTTCCTTGCCAACGCCAACGTACAGGTTTTGCCATGGCCCACATGTTCACCGGACATGAATCCCATCGAGCACTTATGGGACCACCTCGATCGGCAAATCCGACGTCGCCGTGTGCCTCCAGTCAACGTCCAGGACTTTGAACGATGTCTCCTCGAGGAATGGCAACGCATCACCCCCAACGTCATCAGACGTTTGACGTCATCAGTCCGTAGGCGTGTTCTGGCATGTATTGATGCTCACGGTGGACATACCCGCTACTGACTTGACTTTGAGACGTGTGGTGTGACATTTCCCGTAGTTTCTGTGATCAGTGCTCTAACGAAATGTTCATTTTTCGACCCCACCCATCTTTAAAGGCTTGTCATATTGGTTGTACAGATTTTATTGAAATGAAATTTTTGTACAGATGTTGTGAAAGGATTTCTCAAAAGCATAACACCAATCCTAAACTTCTGCATTGTTTAGTTTTTCTTTTATGTCGTTGCAAACAGGTGGTATCGTTTCTTTTGGACACTAGTTTAGAAGGATTGTGTTCAAATATTGCAGCAAAAGAATGAAAATAGATTTAATTATCGTAATTACAGCCGACAAAAGTTATACTTCTAATATTAGGCAGTTACCTTGTTCAAGGGATGTATCCATGAATATCCACATAAAGGAACAATATCCCATACGTCTGCAGCCGGAACTTGTTCGATGTCACGTGTCTGTGTAACAATATTAATCTCATATTTTAAATTAATATATAGCGTTTCGTTTCTCAACTGATCAGATAAGTTTGTTTTTGGTGTTTCACATTAGTCACAAGACAAAACACACGTGACAACTATTTCGGCGGTTCGTGATGTCAACCATCCATTGAGTTAGATAACAATGAGCAATCAATCAACGTATTATCAAATAATCCTTTGGACAAAGTATGTTGGTGTTACATATATGGGACCCGTGTAGATCCGGGTACAGAGTAGGCCTTCAGCAACCGATGCTTGCGGTGGTCAACAACAACAACATCCCCAACAAACGTTGATTTCGCTTCAAGGTCATAGCTATGACATATTGAAGGTACAAATGGAGATTTATGGTGACACAAGGCAAGAGACAGACGTGCGACAAATAGAAAGTTTAACTTCAACAGACTCATAATTTAATAAAAAACAATCTGGAGAATTTCTGTTACAAACTGTGCTAGTTGTCTTTGTTCGAATAAACTTTCAGTATTTAGTAACATATCAAGTAGTATCGCACTTGGTCTTGTAAAGTACTTCTTTTGAATATATAACTTACGCAAGTTATGCACCAAAAGACATATTAGTAGATAGTCATATTCGTCAGCTAAGTCATGTTTATTACAGTGACTACAAATTTTGCCTTCCAAGGGTATATTTTCCCATCGCCCCTTTTCTTTTGGTAATCTATGGTTTGTGGATCTTATTTTAGGAATCGGGATACTGAGTCTTAAGGGTGGCGACAGCAGATGATTTTCTAACTGGATTTTATGTTTAAATAGTCGGTAAAATACTGCCTTGGGAGAGTTGTTTATCCAACTTATCCAAATCTGGCTAAACTGATTAAAGATGCGTTGTTGAATAATACATTTTAATACGTTTATATTTGGCATGAATTGTTGGGTCCATTTAAATCTAAGGCCTAATCCATCAAATAGTCCTTTAACATTTTCGAGCCAGCTATATTTATGGTTTCAGGAGTCTGTGCAAATAATACATTAAATACTCAACAGCAAAACTTCCTGTGACACCAATATTTTAGTGTATTTTTCAAACAAGTAAAGTTTGGTTTTTAATATTGAAGTACATGTATGGAATCAAGTCACAAAACGCAACCGCTACAGAAAAGCATGCATTCCAAGCAAAAGGTGACTGTTATGCAAGCCCCATGCTTTTCACTAATCAAGAATGGGTATAAAAACATGTGCGTTAACAGGATTCCATATGCATTGTTTAGTATCATGCTGACAACAACCACTCAGAAAAACAACACAATTACATAATTATTCAACATTACGAAATGCCACGCCTGTCCGAAAATGAGCGTCTGCGAGCCATTGGTATGCTTGAAGCAGGATCGAGTCAACGTGATGTTGCAAGACAATTTAACGTCCACAGAAACACCAGTTGGTGTTTATGGCAACGTTTGCAACTGATGAATGCAGTCAGAGACCATCCTCGGAATGGCAGGCCACGCGTAACCAATAAACGACAAGACAACTGGATTCGAACAACACACCTACGTAATCGATTCCAGCCAGCAACAGTTACTGCAAGAAGCATCCCTGGCCTTCGACGAATATCTTCACAAACCGTACGTTGTCGCCTCAGATGTGCAGGGATTGTCGCCAGAAGACCCGCCAGACGTCCCATTTTGACAGGAAACCACAGTCAAGCACGTCTACAGCGGTGCAGACAGCGTCTAACGCTGGACGGCCATGCAGTGGGGACAAGTTCTAGTCACTGATGAGTCTCGTTTTCACCTCAGCCACAGCGATGGACGGATTCGAGTGTACCGACGTCGAGGTGAACGTTACGTCAATCATTGTGTCATGGAAGAAGATCGGTTCGGGGGCGGCAGCGTTATGGTATGGGGTGGGATTACAGAAAGACAGAGGACCAGTTTGATTGTGGTAGAGGGAAATCTCAATGGACAGCGCTACCACGATGAGATCATCGGCCCTGTTGTTCTAGCGTTTTTTGCGTCGTCATGGCCAAGGCAATACCTTTCAACATGACAATGCCCGGCCATATATTACTCGACTTGTTCAGGATTCTCTTCAACAAAACAACGTGAATGTCATCCCCTGGCCGGCTCGCTCCCTTGATATCTCACCAATCAAGCACATGTGGGATGAGATGGATCGGCGCCTTCGACGTCAACCACGTGTTCCACAGACACTCCAGGAACTTCGAAAAATGCTCCAGCAGATATGAACAGATATCCCACAGGACTTTGTGCGACGCCTGGTCCATTCAATGAGACAAAGATGTGTTGCTTGCGTCGCAACCAGAGGTGGACACGCACGCTATTGATTTGTAAATTGACATTTTGGCAAGTTCATGTTTTTTTAATGAAATCACGCATTTTCTGAAGTCAGTATGGCAAATTAAACCATTTGAACACTTACATAATTCTTTAATCTGTTGCAAACCGAAATTGTTTCAGATTTGTTAAAAAACATAACTTTGCATTAAATCATATTCAGTGTCACAGGAATTTTTGTTGTTTAGTATACATAACAGTACA